CAGGTACTGGAAGGTCTCCCTGGAGACCTTATTGTTATCCAGAGAATTAAATAGCAATTAACTTGCATGTCAGTGGCCCTCTGCATATCCTGACATTGCATAGTTTGCAAACATCTGAGAGGATTTGGAAGTGCCTTTTGGCTGGGAGACCTTTGGTAGTGAAGAATTTGATTTCAGTGAACAGTCTACTCCAATCTCAAATTAACTCTGGATGTTAATTGGGAAATGTTACGTGCAGTGTGGCTTCATATTTCAAGGTTGGAGTTTGAGTAGTCTGAAATGTTACGTGCAGTGTGGCTTCACATTTCAAGGATGGAGTAGTCCCAGGTGGATTGAACTCTGGTACAAGAGGGCAGAGAATCTGTTCAGTTTTTTCTCTTTTGTTTGGGTGGGGTTTTTTTGTTTCTTAAAGTCTTATTTTTAACCAATTTATTCAGTGGTTTAATCATCTAGGTAATCCTGTATGTAATACCTTCTTTTTTTTCCTGACCTTAGGGATGAACAGTACCGGATTATGTGGAATGAATTGGAGACCCTTGTACGAGCGCACATTAACAACTCCGATAAGCACCAGCGAGTCTTGGAGTGTTTGATGGCTTGCAGAAGCAAACCCCCGGAGGAGGAGGAGCGCAAGAAACGAGGGAGAAAGAGGGAGGACAAAGATGACAAGTCAGAGAAGCTGGGCAAAGACTATGAGTCGGATAAGCCCTGGCAAGAATCAGAAAGGTAAAACTTCTGAAGTGGAATCAAACTGTAGCATGATGCATCCTGCCCTCAGGCAAAGGGGACAGGAGTTAGTGAAACAGTTGCAGGTTTTGATTTGGTGTGGTCATGCTCAACTCCGGCTTGCTACCACTGAGTGTGGGTCCCAGGTTTTTTCGGGTCAGTCCCCATTACCAGCCTCGGGAAACAGGCGTTTGGTTAGCGTGCCTGCTTCTCAGACTTTTCAAGTTAACATTTGACAAGCAGTATGGTTGTTTGAGCAATTTGTTGACCACTTAGCAGGGCTTTGCAGCTTGAGGAGTCGCCACTGTTGGATATTATTGTAACCACGCCACTTATTAGACATCAAAGTGCTTTATAGAAATACAAAGCATGACTAAAAACTTGGGACGGGCAGTTATCTTCTTCTCAAGCTGTAGAGCTGAATATTCGGGTAGATGAACAATCCAGATTGATTCGTCTCTTCTTTAGTTGAACATCAGGACTGATTGTCCATATACCTACTGCCCGTAATTCATGTTGTTATTGTAACTTGTCTAAGTGGTAAGCATCTGTCAGTCTCTTCTCTTTTCCACCTTTCGAACTGCTGTTCTAAAGGGATCAAAAAACCCTTATGGCAGTGAGCATAACTTGCATGTTTTGTGCATGCTACAGTCACTTAGGACAGGAGGCCCTTTTCCCCTAGGTCACTGTCACCATGCTGATGACCTTTCATGCCTTTCTGTGTATGACCAAATCCGTTCCTGCTCTTGCTTGTACTTTCCACGTGTGGAACCAAAATGGGGCCTGAGATAAAAGGGATTTGGTATGGAATAGGTCTGAAGTGACATAGAAAAGATGACAGGAAATTGTGTGGTGGTTTTGTTTATTCATTGTTACTTAGTCTTTCATTGAAAATTCAGGATGATCAACTGTCTCAACTGCACTATAAATCCTGCTGGCTAATTTAAGGGAAATTAAAATAGAATTTCCCTTTACTTAAGGCTTTATCCAGAGGATTATTCGGCTAGTCTTCCCTACTATTCACCCATTCCAAGGGGCCAAAAGAGATTTTCTTACATGATGCAGGTTGCATATGACTGAGGAGTACAAAATAGTACCAAGAATCACAAGTGCTACTCTAGTGTATTTTGCTTCACTTTTTTTTTTTTTTCCTTCTTTCTCCAAAAGGTTAAAAGGTATTTTGGAGCGTGAAAAGGAAGAACTAGCAGAAGCTGAAGTTATCAAAGATTCCCCTGATTCTCCTGAGCCACCCAACAAAAAGCCTCTTATTGCAATGGATGAGATGCCCACAGTAGAAAAGGCAAAAGGTAAACCAGAAGAATTGCAATGGACTGTTTCTTTCAGACACAGAAGCTGTTGTATCAGTCTCTAATTGCTGAAGTAATGAGACAAATCTTCATGGAGTTGAAGCTTCAAGTCAGTGAGGATAACTTTTAATTAAACACTCAGTGTTGAGACATTATTGATAAATAGGTTGACCTCAAAAGTTCTATACAGTAAGAGATACCAAGATACTGTGTGAGCTTACTGATAGGCACTGGGATTCACAGAAGCTGTTGTATCAGTCTCTAATTGCTGAAGTAATGAGACAAATCTTCATGGAGTTGAAGCTTCAAGTCAGTGAGGATAACTTTTAATTAAACACTCAGTGTTGAGACATTATTGATAAATAGGTTGACCTCAAAAGTTCTATACAGTAAGAGATACCAAGATACTGTGTGAGCTTACTGATAGGCACTGGGATTGCCGAGGGGGTTGGACAAATTCCTGTGTGTGTCAGAAATGCTCTTTAAGGACAGGTATCAGGAATCACCATCTCCTGCTGACTAGTAAATACAAGTATGCCTAGGCCATATAGTTGTGGTAATGGGAGTTCTCACTGAATTCTCTTCCTTGCTGTGAGCTGTTATCTGTCACAGTGGCTGAGCTGATGCTCAGGTTCCTCATTTGAAGCAAAGTCAGTCTCATATGAAGCTACTACTCAGCTGTTACCACTTTGCATATTTTGTATTTAGCCTCTATTATAAGGTTGTTTAATATTAGTGGGTTTAATATGTTGTGCTACCACAGTCTGTGATTTCTCCTAAGACTTTATAATGATGTAATATTTAAGAATTCAGAAATAAAATCACTTACACTCTTTTGACTTGCAAATTTAGGGCCAATGTCCTTGCTGTCCTTATGGAGCAACAGGATTAATACTGCCAACTCTAGGAAACACCAGGAATTTATTGGTCGTTTGAATTCTGTCAACAATAAAGCTGAGCTATATCAACATCTGAAAGAAGAAAATGGGTTTGTATCAGTAAATATGTCACTACAAGCGTCTTTGCAGTAGTCAGTATGGAGAAATACTTCAGTTACAGCATCACAAACACTCCTTATGGGTTAAATGGTAGCTGAGATTTCTTGTGCCGGTCTGTTGCTTGCTTTAGCTTCTAAAGGATTGTCTCATATAAAAATGTCATTGACAGTAGTGGTTGAATTCTTATGCTGTGCTGTAACAAAGTTGGTTGTAGTCCATGTTCTGCCAAAAAGTACTGAAAAACCAAACCAACCTCCTCCTAAGTCAATGAGATGGTGGTAGTCACTGATCAGTGGGAGAAAGGTGAAAAGGAAGACCTTAAACTGCTAAAGCTTAAATTTTAGAAACAGATTCTCTGTAGTCACATAAATATGGACTTTTGTCTTTTGGTGAGGTTGATAATGGTTAGCTTTTTGTGGTTGTTGCTGGACAGTTTCTTTGCAGAAACCTTTCCTTTATGTATTGTTTGCTGCTTGAAGTAGTATTAAGAGGATATAAGGTGGTTTATGTAAGTTTGGGTTTTGGTGGTTTTTTAATCTGTTGACTCTGTTTCCACTAACAAGCCTTACCAACTATTGTCTTGTATTTCAGGATGGAAACGACAGAAAACGGAAAAGCAGGCCGGCAGTGATGATTAATTTTGTTCTTTGGACAAAACTTGGCCGAATTACAGAAATATTTAATGCTGGAATTGATATTGGTACCATTTCAGTACAATTGTATAGCTCTGTTTTTACATTTTTCTATTCTTATTTTTGCTATGAAATACGGAGTCCGTGTATCACATTAGATGAATAGTGTGCAAATAGGAGCTGTCCTGAAGTATTTTACGGTCATGTTTTTTTTAGGATGAAGAAAACCTGTGCTGCCATGGACTATATCAAGTAATAAAGAATGTTAGTCAGAGTTTATAAGTACTTTCCCATAAGTATTGTTTAATATTTCAAAATCAGTGATGACTGTTTCAAAGGAAGAAAAAAATTAAGTAATTGATAATTATAATATTGTTAATTTTGGTTCATGAAGACTTTTATTTATATGAAACTTCCTCAGGAGTCCAGAATTATGGAAAAAACCACACACTGAATACCTAGTCACTGAGCTGAGAAAACGCCAGCCTTGTTTTTCAACTAAGGGGTGGGAGAGTGAATTGTTTTGCAGATAAAAATTGTTGCTTTAAGGACTTTTAAAGATTGACTAGAAATGATCTTCAGAAAGCAAAGCCTTTCAGGTTGTTGTGCTGGAGTTAAGTCTTTGTAAGCAAAAGTAAAATAAAATTTTTGCTAATCATTAATTTTTTTAAATGGAAGTATGCCCTCTAAGACACTTGTGGTTTGAGGTCTAAGCTTTTTGAACATCATGGGAAAACTGATTCTGAATATTAATGGTGTGAAATATCAACACAGATGATCTGTTTCCAGTTTCTTTTGAGTAGAGCCTTTTTCTCTTAATGGCAAGTAGAATTCTCAAACAGGAAAACTCACCCAACGTCTCTGACCTAACCCCTTGTAAGTTTGGGGGTTGGCTTCCAAATGGATCAACTTGAGTGGACTAAGGAAAGATGAATAGCTAGGCTCTCCAAGTCTATCAGCCTTCCTCTAGTCTGCATCTCTTGCCTTATTCTAGCTTGTGTGAGCAACTGAAGCACTCACAGATTTGGTATCTTACAGTTTAAGGTGATTTTATGAGCTTTCCTAAAATTAATGTATTCATATTTCTTCACCTGAAACTTTAAATACCAGTGTTTCTTAAGTTTCTGCTATTTTTAATGAGCTTGTACTGCATATCAGTCTGGATATTTATCATGTTTACTAAAGGAGTTCTAAAGTTCTAGGTTCTGAAGAACCTAGGGAGCATGGTAGGTGTCAGCTAGCTGCAACTTGTTTCTAGTTGAGGAAGTTATGACTGAAAAGCTTATCCTGTGCCTTGAATTTCAGTATTGCAGCTCCTGGTGTGCTGTTAATATTTACCTGCGGTCCTTAAATATGCACAGGAAAGAAATGCTTCGTTAGAGGAAAAGGAAAATTCTGCACTTGCTGTTAAAACATCTGGTGGTTTAGCTTGTTTACTAACTAAATTTTCCACTTATGGAGCATCTGCCAGGTAAGACTGAGTGATTAGATGAACAGAACCTGATCCTCCTGGGTGGTTGACTGTGGGCCTAAGTCCTAGAAGAGCCTTGCTGAGACATGACATGCTGCAAGGGTTGGTATCTCCTGCAGTAATCCTTTTTATTTTACCAGTCTTATGTCTATACTATTTACTACAGTGAATTACTGCTGCTTTGTTGACTTTTCCATCTAACTGTAGAGCTGGCATATAGCTGGATGGCTTCTGGAAAGCACTGAAGTCTTCATCTAGAGGAATTTGTACTTGTCCAAAAAGCCGTTCAACACCGTAAACCCAGACAAGTGCTACTCACTCATTCAAGACTTAAATCCTGTCACTACTGTCATTTTCAGGGTAACTGCTGTCCCAAAACAAGGACATAACACGTTAGCAACGTTTTCCGGTGCATGTTGTTCCTCTGCTCCCACAGATATGTTGTACCTGGAGGTGGATTGTACACGTGCAGCTTGATCTGCTCGAGGCCTTCTGTCCTGTAGCTCTTGGCACACTTGTGGCTAGCGAGCTGTTCGCTCTCCTGTGCTCTTGCTGGGGCTGCTGGGGGGTGGGAATCTGAGGTTTGGAGATAGGGCAAGCCAGCAGAGGCTGCAGGGACCCGTGTTGGTACGGCGTGCTGGCATCCACTCGCTCGCCAACATCAGTCTGCGCTGGTGTGAAAGTGGGCGGCCCGCTGGAGGTCTGTTCTCATCTCCTGGCTGTGGACCAGTCCCACGTCTATCCCTGGGCTGGATTCAGAGGCTGCAGGGACCCGTGTTGGTATGGCATGCTGGCATCCGCTCGCTCGCCAACATCAGTCTGTGCTGGTGTGAAAGTGGGCGGCCCACTGGAGGTCTGTTCTCATCCCCTGGCTGTGGACCAGTCCCATGTCTATCCCTGGGCTGGATTTCTTTTAGAAATTCTTTTGCCCCTTCTCTTCACCATGGTTCTTGAACTGCCGTTGGTGGAAGCGGACAAGAGAGCCGGTTTTAGTGTAAGAGAGCAAGCTGTAATTTTAAGTACCTTACACAGTTACCTAACAGGAAGAATTTCATGCCAAGTAGCTACCAATGCTTTTGAGTGCTACATACCATGTATTTAATAGAAACACCAAAGAAAGCCTTGGAAGGTGTTGAGAACAGAAAACGTGGCCCATGAGAGGGACAATTACTGGATGGGTTTTTTGAAAATGCTAATCTAAAATTCTGAGATGACAGACTGCTAGACTCCATTTGAATAGCGATGGAAACGCTGTGATTTGTGGTGGTCCTTCTGGCAGTTCTGTCCCGTGCATTTCTGAATTGGGGAGCTGGTTTTACTCGGTACTGGCCATGACCCCTCATTCCCATCAGCCACAGCTTGGTAGACATTATCCTGTTGTGACTGATACGGGCATATCGCTCTCCCTGCCTCACCTATAGAATCCTTTACCCCCTTTACTTGGTGTTTTGGCCTGGTACTTAGTTTTAGGGTTCTGCTTTTGCTACTGCTTCTTGGTCAGGCATAGGTTATGTTCTGATTTAAACTGAGAAACGATCAAATCACTAACTGCTTATGATTTTTGAGTAATGAGGACTGTGCATTCTAGTACAAACTGTCTTTTTCTAGATTTGCTCTTAAAATCACTTAACTGAAGTCTGTGGGTATTGTCCTGGCCGTTCGAGGTAGCTGTACGTGACAGCAGGGAGGCAGTTGGTATTTCGGCGGCTGGCAAGGTGGTGTGACGTGAGGCCGTCTTACTGCCGCAGGGCACTGCTCTTGGGTGCTGGGTGATGCTGAAGGGGCTCTCCGTAACCCAGGTGAAGGGGGGGCCCTGCACTCGTGTACAGGCGCTTTGCAGGGTTTCAGGACATCCAGTTCCACATCAGCACGGCTTAACTGGGAGTTTCTCTGAAACATGACCAACGGCGATCCAGGAATCTTCCTGTGACTCTTGCAAAGCCAGTAAACCAGTATTACCAGAACCGCCCCAGCAGCGACACAAAGGCTGCTCAGTAAGGCCGAAGGGGTCTTCCTAGTGCAGGAGTCGCTCTTCTCTTGAAGAGTAGGCACAGCACCACTGGAAGACCCATGGAACGGCTTTGTAGTGGGAGAGCAGGCTTCACCGTATGAAATGTTGAAAATGACATCAATTCTGTATTCTGGCAGCATTGCCTGGACAAAGCCTGGGCTCACGTACCCAGCGGGCACTCGTAATTTCTCCAGTGCCTCCTGGATTTCGCCTCTTGCGCACCAGCCGGAAGGTCGGGTGGCACCCGCGCACAGCGAGCTGTCGTACCAGGAGATCAGCGTGGACCCAGGTTTGAGGGCGGTCACCGTCATGTCTTTGGGACTGCTGGAGTTCAGATAGAGGGAGAGCTTCTCCAGAAACAAACTAACCCGCTTCCTCTCTCGCAGGAAAGAGTAGTAGCTGTTCTTTGTTCTGAGGGTGTAAAGGTGGCACGGTACGTCGGTGGGCTGCAGCAGCTCGATGGTGAAGGGTTCCCGGGCAGTCAGTCCTCCTGAATCGGTGGCAGAGAGCACAAACTCCTGCGGCGAATGCTGGAAGTCGATGTCGAGGGGATAGCCGTGCATGGTGTGCTTAGAGGTGTTAAACTGCAGCCAGCTTTCCGATCCCAGCCGAGAGCCGTCAGCTGGGATGACTTGTAGAGATAACTGCGTTGAGTTGCCATCTTCCGCGTCGTAAAATGTGTTGGCAGGTATGGGAAAAAAGAAGAGGCATCCGATAGTTGCCGTTAGGAATTGAATGGAATGAACAACCTTTGGGGAAGTGTTTGCTCGCCCTTTGGAGAAAGAAAAGGGAAACAAAGAATCATGAGGGAGGTGGGAAAAAAGCTACCTGATTATGATAAGGGAATCTCATCAGCCACATAGGGTTATGGAGTGTGTTGGCTAGAAGCGTTGGTATCCTGGGCTGTATCCAGAGC